ATGTTTGCAAGCTTCATTTAGATGATACAAGGCATGCAAAAGCAGCTGATTTTAAATTTAGTATCGCTGCCCTTAAAGAGAAGCAGGTTGAGATATGGATATGTAAAAGAAAATAATTTTGCAAGGTCTGCATTTTTCTTCCTTGCTCTAGTAATGCCCTGGTTCCCATACAATTATCTATAGCTAAGGTAACAGCTTTTCTCAGCTCCCTGTTTCAGAAGGCTGCACCTTGGAATACTGTCTTAAACAGAAACAATTTTTGAGAAGTATGGTTAAAATTGTTTTTCATAAATATATGCTTTATGATACATTTGCTAGATATTCTAAATAACTGCAAGTAAAATTTATGATTGATTTGTTATTTCTGTTGGATTATGATTACACCAGTAACTGCATGTCAGAGAATTTCTGTTTGCTGCCTGAATCAGTTGTTTGAGCTGCATTAGCTGAAAGAAGCTGGAGTGCAAAAAATCCGATGCTTTTGACTTAACTCCTTGCTTTCATATGGGCTTAGTCTTTACCTACCCTTCACAAACCTGTCAAATACTAGGCAGGGAGATTTCCAGCCTTAGAAATACATTTTCTCAACCATGCATTGTCAGAGATGACAAGTAATTTAGGATTTCTTTTTTTTCCTGTAGTCCATTTTAGATGTTTACTGTAGGATTATATAAACCTCTTTTATTCTGTTTCACACAAATAAATACTTTTGCTGGCCTATCTTAGAGTCCCACTGGCACATATTTTAGTGAGTTATTGTCACTCATGTTCCATTATTCCCAAATTACATATCACAAGATTATGGTTGAAGTTTAACCTTAAAAGCAGATGAGCAGAGACTGCAACATTTTATGACAAGAGTCCTCATCGGTATTGGTTGAATGAATCATATTCTAAAGCCAGTAGTTTGTTGCTTATGGGCTATGCTGCTTCCATGACGGGATTAGTAAACTGATAAATAAATCACCCTTTGGTAGATTATGACATGGCCTCAAATTCACTCCAGAATTCTCTGCCTCCTCCTCCCAAGCTGCACAAGAGGATGGAGAATGGAGTTTGGGGTCAGTTCACCATATGTTGTCTCTGCTACTTCTTCTTTCTCAGGGCGAGGATTCCTCACACTTCCCCTGTTCCAGTGTGGGGTCCCTCCCACGGGAGACAGTCCTCCATGAACTTCTCCTGTGTTAGCCCTTTCTCCATTGTTAGCCATTCCTATAGGCTGTGGTTCCTCATGAACTGCTCCAGTCTAGGTCCCTTCCACAGGGTGCAGTCCTTCAGGGACAGACTGATCCATTGTGGGTCCACCACACGACTACAAATCCTGACAGTGTGGGCTCCCCACTCCATGAGGCCACAAGTCCTGCCAAGAGCCTGGTTTGGCATGGGCTTGGCACAGCATCACAGACTCCTTTGGGCATCCCTCTGCTCTGGCATGGGGTCCTCCAAGGGCTACTGGTGGATCTCTGGTCCACTGTGGACCTCGATGGGCTGCAGGAGCACAGCTGTCTCACCATGGTCTATACTGAGGGCTGCTGGGGAGTGTCTGCCCCAGATCCCTGAGCACCTCCTTCCCTGATCTGCAGAGTTGTTGCTCTCACATTTTCTCACTCTCTCATCTTTGGCTGCAATTTGTTCCTGTGCTGTGAATTTTTCCCCCTTCTTAACAGTGTTATCCCAGAGGTGCTACCACTGTCACAGATGGGCTCAGCCTTGGCCAGCAGTGGGTCTCTTGGAGCCATCTGGTCTTGACTCTATCACACATTGGGGAAGCTCCTAGCAGCTTCTCAGAGAAGGCACTCCTGTAGTCTCCATCCCCAATGCCAAAATCTGGCCATAAAAACCCAATTCACAAATGAAAACAATGACAGATGCATTCTGTGTTCTTCTTTGCATGGGATCAGTTACAGCTCCTGCATTTCAAACCCCTTTTCCTGTTAAATTTAAGATGGCTGGAGAATGTTCAGGATAAGATCTAGATCTGTGTTTTATAATTTAACATATATTATATTTTTACTTTTACTTCTTTCATCATAGAAGAGGGCAGGGAAGAGAAAACTGGTAAAAGGATTATGTGAGAGTCATTATTATAAGGAAATGAATCTGGGTTTCCTCAGTGACTCACAATTTCTCTGATATCATTTCAGTGGATTAACTACTCAAATCAAATTGAATGATAAACTCAGTCTAATATAAACTGCAGAACACATTATTTTTAAATTTTTCTGCATTTCGGTCTTTTACAGATGTTTTACCCAAAACAGACCCACTTAATTTTCCTCCTTCATGAGAATGTGAACAAGGCTGTGGAAACTATAAATAACAGTAACAACTCTTGGTAGATGAAGTGTCCTGATACATCTTACAAACAATCTCCAATATAAATTTTTTTTAAGAATTAGACTACAGTCTAAACACAGGCTTCACTGTCTTTGAATCTAGAATTTGAAAACACAGATAAATGACAGCTATAATTTTCTACAAATGTGTCATGTTATTTTCTCATACATCAGTTTAATTAATAAGCCAGCCTATGATTTAAAATCCATACAACCTTTGAGTCAAATAAAAACTTTAAATCCCTTTCATGAACACATAACTTCTACCATATGTATCTTTAAAAGGACACATTGGATATAAAATTACTACAGTTTAAAGTACTGCAAAAGATGAGTAGCCCATATGGATACTGATTTGCACATATCACTTTCAACAGCTAAGTGCACTTCAATATCATCAAAAGTCACATCAGAGTGCTATTTCAAGCACTCTGTTTCCCCCCCTAGCAGAGCATCTCACTTCACAGTACAGCTCAGGAAAGGTTTTTTTATTTGAGCTCTTTAAGCAAGCCCCTGTGATGACCTAGTTCTGACAAGTTACCTGAGTTACTGAACTGACCTTTTGACAAAGCCAGAAAATGAGATGCACAAGCTAAGGTCAGTGTTCTCATGTTCCACACACTGTTCAAAAGGTCTCATAAGACTCACATGTGTATGTCTTGGACATGGCACAACTGAACAATAAACAGATGAAAGAAGGAACAGAGACAAAAATTAAATACTCTATTTGTGGTTTCTTGAGGAGGAACACTACTTCAATGAGTTACAAGAAACCAGTATTGTGCAGCTTCACTCAGCTTCTGCCAGGCCATAGGACAATACAACATCAGAATAGGGGAAGGAGGTTTTCATAATATACTACTAACCATGTGAATGACTCCTTTTTTTTTTTCAATCTATCCTGCTTCCTAACTCTTGATTTTCTTCAGACACACCTCCAAAAACTTGTAAAGGTTTCTTGAGAGTAAGACTTATTTGCTCAAAGTTTAGACCATGTTTCATCAACTGTTTTGTTGTTTTATTGCAGAAAAATATGGTTTTATTGAAGAAAATATTTTTATTAGGCAGATAAGTGACAGATTTTGCAAGTTGTAAAATCCACAAGTCATCTTGGTTGAGATCCAGAAAGCTCAAGGCCCACAGACTCAGTTAACTGGGTTGAAATAGTGATGGTCTTCACTAGAATAGAGTTGATTTTCATCACAACAGCTTGTATGAGGCTGTGTTTTGGATCTGTACTAGAAACAATGTTGATAATTCAGGCTGGTGGCGCACAAGCAGTTGGGTGGGAGGGGACACAATTGGGACAGCTGACCCCAAATAACAAGGAGATATCCCAGACCATATGGCATCACGCTCAGTATAGAAAGGGAGGACAGGAAGGAGGAAGAAGGGGATGTTTGGAGTCATGACACTTGTTCCCAAGTCACCAAGTGTGTGATGGGGCCCTGCTCTCCTGGGGACAGCTGAACACCTGCCTGCCCTTGGGAAGTGGTGAATTAATTCCTTGGAGTGCTTTGCTTTATTTGCATGCATGGCTTTTGCTTTACCAGTTGGATTGTTAAACTTTACAATCAGCCATGGGTTTTCCCACTTGCATCCTTCATCCTTCTGATTCTATCTCCCATCCTAATGTGTGGTGCTGAGTTGCTGGCTGGGCTTGAATCATGACAAATAGATATCAACAAAAATACTCATACAGTCCTTTTTTACATGTTTACATTGTCCACATAGTTTATATTTTTTGTTTTCATTGTTTATATTGAAAAATAATAGTTTCCAATTTTCAGCAAAAACTGAAATAAGAGGAAATATAATTACAATTATTTAACCTAATAAATAATTTCTAAGACACCTCAGGTCACAGGCTTTTCTAAATTTAAATTTTAGTTTTTTAGCTTGTGTGTTTTCCCTAAAAAGAAGAATTAAAAAGTAAGCAGTTAAGTAAAACAAACAGTCTAATCATATCTTTGTTTGACATCAGAAACAAGATGCTTTAACTTCCTTCAGTGTACAGGTGAGCTTCACAATTTTGTCGTAAACTCAGTTACTGGAAGGTGGTGCAACTGAGACCAATGTGCCCTGAGAAAACTGAGATTTGGATATTGGAGAAAGCCCAATGTGCTGAGTGACATCCCAGGACAGGGAGCACTGCCCTTGAAGTCAGTTGAATAAATTCCTCTTAAAAATGTTGTCTCTAGGTATGCACATAAGAAGAGACATTCCCAGTACCAAGTGATTACTTTTATATGGCGTTCATGGGTGCATCCACAAGCTTGTTGAGGATGTTACCTGTTTTAGACCTCTTAAGGGAAAGTCTAGGCATGGGCTTGTGGTTTCATTCACATGTGTCTGTTTCATATAAGCAGCCATATCAGTGGGCTTGTAATGTGTGCCAGCCAAATGGCCACACACATGTCTGGCCTGTGAGCAGAGCTGCCTCACTGTGAAGTCAAAAAAAGCCAGCAGCTAGGTTAGAATAAACCTGGTTATTCCACTGAGAACAAAGGTGGAGACAAGTGCCACGATCCTTTCCTCCTTTGCATTCTCTTTCTCACCATCTTTAGTCCCCAAAATATCAGAAACTTGAAAAATGTGAAGCCATTTAGTAGCAAACATGTGGGATTAAAACAAAATATATAATGTATGAACATTGAAAGGGTTTTCAGTGTTGTATTGATAGTTCACCTGTTGGGAGTTAAGCATACCTTTCAAATATCAACAAATCATGGTCAATAGCCACGGAACATGTAATAATGGAGATGAAGATGAGATGCATCACTCTGCATATGGATATGTCAGTTCAAATATTAGCACCAGATACAACGCTAAATTCACTTCTTACCACCTGTAGCCGCAGGTATGAAAGATGCATTTCCTTCATTTGGATAGGTCCTCTGGTGTAAATAAACAAATAAATGAAACCAAGAAATTTCAGAACACAAATGATCAAAACACGCAGGAATAATTGTTAAGTGCATCTCTTTTGAATGCTTTTGAGAGACTGCTTTCATGCAAGTACACAGGATAATTCTTCTTTAGGAATTTTATCTACCTGTCACTAAACTGCTGTTTTTAGAACAGGAGGCCTGACCACGGAACCCCATGTATTCTTTTTGTGAATTTAACATTCACAAATTGTACTGGGTAACAGACTCTGGGCAGCACTCCTTGAGCAAAGGGGTTGGACAGGGTGATCTCCAGAAGCACTTTCCAACCTCAGACATTCAGTGAAAGTCCAGTGTCTTTCCATGCTGAGATGCATGCAGTCTGTTGGCTACAGAAGTACTCCACACAAGTGCAAGGTTATTTTGTCAAGTGCTTTCTAAGAGCAGATATTCTTTTGTATACCCTCTTTACAGCTCTTCACTCTCAAGGAACAAATTGCTTTTCTTCTGTCCTGCTCACACAGAAAGAAATCCCTCTTTTGATTATGCTTGTGCCATTTCACAGTGTCTTTTCAATGGGACAAATTACCCTGTCTTTCTTTCTCTCCTTCATGCCAGTCCTCAAGGTCTTTGAAATCCTTTTCTCTTACCAAAGTAGTATGGCAAACATTTTCACTAATGCAAGAGTCCCTGAGCTATTTTTTCATTTCCCTAGCATGTTCAGCTACCTATTACAGGAAAGAAAGGCTTGCCATTTCCACTGCTGGCAGCATTAATTTAAAAAAAATGTTCCAGAACACATTTGGTTCTCTCCTTGTACTTTTTTCTCCTTGCAACTCTGGTTACACTTTTGTTCCATGTAATTGTTTTGACTCAGTTTTATGTATTTTTAATCCTACTGCACTCTTGGTACAAGGCAGATATTATTATAAAGAGAATATGAGAAGGATGTCAATAAAAATGTCAGATTGCTGCTGTTCTCAAGGGACAGCTGTTTTTGTGCCCCAGGAGGTGGGTCTTGGCTGTAGACTGACTACTGAGAAGGTAAAGTACAGGGAGAGGTGCTGCACTAGAGCAATGCCAAGCTCAAATCATCTTTGTGGTGATCAGAGGCACATACACTGCAGAAGCATTGCCAAGTGAAATGTTTGGCAGAGAGGAAAAGATGTGGCAAAACTTCCTGATCTGGTATTTAAAGGGAAAATTGAAAACATACTTCCATAAACCCGAGATATAAATCAAAGGAAGGATATTAGTGTGTACTGGAGAAGTTCTTTTCACCCAGAATTCTTTTGGCTAAGAAGTGGAGATGATTCTTAAAATGGCCCTGTTTGGAAGGGGCTGAAGGAAAATAAACAAACAAACAAACAAACAAACAAATAAATATATTGAAAATATAATAAAAATTATAATGATGATGATAATGATAATGATAATGATTATTTTTATTTATTATTATTATTATTATTATTACTATTACTATTATTATTTTGTATTTACTTTTTCTTGTTGAAATATTCTTGTCTTCCATTAATTTTCAGGTGCTAGCTTTAAACTGAATCTTAAAAACCCAAATACAATTAAAAAGGGGAAGGGAAAAAAAAGGAAAATTTAAATCTACGGGGTCATTGCAACAAAAGCAGAGGCCATCTTTGCATTAACTGTAGGACTAAAAGCAAGGATTTCTGTCCCTGCATTTGATTTACTATATGATGCTAGGCAGGTCCTTTAATTGTGTTTTCATTTTCCCACCTTTGAGGCAAGCCTAGTGGAATCTTGTGAGGGATAATATATTTCTCCATAACTTTGAGATCTTTGGAAATAACAGGCTATTGCACTTAAGTAGCTCTTTATGGGACATCACACAAAATTAAAATAAAACACTGAAAGGCATATCCTTTGGGCTCTGTGTTTTATTTTTTATTGTCTAAACAAGTCAGTCTACATATTTATGGTAAGAGTGTTGCCTCCTACATCTTGGATTTTTAACTTGATTGCAAAGGAGAAGGAACATTTGAGGAAAAAAGTAGAAATTTAATTTAGGGAAATGTATCTTACTATTGTAATTTATGTGTCTTTCTGTAGGATTATGCTCAACGATGTAAAATATTATGTAGGATGTGGGTCAGAAAACTTTACAACTCAAAAAATTCAGCACTGACAGTGGGTGAATTAATATCAGTCAATGCCTAACTGGGCTCAGAACATCATGTGGATGAATGTTTCCACTAGCTGGTGGAAACAAGGCCAAGAGTTTAAGCCAGGAAAAAGCCTTTTGGAAGCTCTTGGCTAGCTCTCAGTTCCATCCATTGACAGCTAGTAGTTTTGTGTTACAAACATAGATATTTCCCAAAGTAGAGACTGTTGGTGTTGCATAGAACCTTTAAATAACAAGCAGCAGCAAGATCTTTGAAAGCCACTGGGTGAGCAACAACAGCTGTTACCAGCTGCAAACTGTCACAAAGTCAGGACTGTCTTGCAGCCTCAAAGGAACAAACAAGTAGTCGAAAATCATTCCCTTAGCAATTTTCTGCTAGGGATTATGTTGCCATAAATTTGCCATCAAGACAATCATAGTCTAGACTATGCCTAGAACCATGTGTAGTCCAGCCACATAGAACTGCCTGTTTGTGGCATGCTGGATGGGAGAGGGTGGGCCAGCCTGTCTGGACTGGGTAACTCAGGGTCTGTCTCAAGCCTAAGCCCCACCAGGACTAGGAAACCCGAGCTCCTCAGTGCATATTGAATGAAGGACTTAACAATGCAATTTTAGAGTCATCAAAACATTGACTGCTGCTTCACTTTAAAATACCTGGAGAATGAGATGGAGCTGAACTGCATCTCTGTTATTTGGGTGTGTGCTGAGAAGGGACCTGGAGCAGGAGCCCCCATTGGGGGGAATTCATGTGATCAACGTGTATGAACTTTACAGCAGAATTCCCAGACAGTCCTACAACTGCAAGATTTTTGCGGGGTTCCTTTCACTTCCATATACATATTGAATTAGAGACAAAAGAGGAAAAAATGACATCTTGCAGGCTGAGACTTTTCCATGGCCTCAGAAAATCACAAGTTTTAGCTCTTGATCACAAGATTTAGTGTTTGGTCTATTCCAGTACTACACACTCTGTATCCTACACTTGCACAAAGAGCAAAAGTATAAAACCAGTAAAAGTCACACAGTCATTATTTTAGCCTACCAGTCACCCACACATTTTAAAAGAAATGCCTTGAAGAGAGGATTAAGAGCTTTAAATCCAGAGTGGAGAAAATTACCTGCTCAGAGCATTTTATAAATCTCTGAAACCCTAGAAAATCAAAAGGAAGGATTTAAAACATTTTTCCTCCATGTATTTAGATGGCAAGGCTGGCAAATTGAGGTTATGTTTACCTGAAGTCCAACCTCTAAATCAGTAAAAATTCTCTCTCCCGGAGACATTGTTCAATGGTATTCTGTATTTAAGAGGCAGCACACACATTTGGGCTTACGGTTGGCAAGTTAAGCTGTGTGAATGTGCCTTAAAAAGAGTATTCCCAATGATGGCTGTGTCTGTGCCCAAGATTCATGCTCCAACCTTTGTATCTGTGAGAGACTCAGTCATTCCACCATGAGCCATAACCTAAATTCTTTTTGTAGCTTGACTACTAAGCCCACCTTGAATTTTCTCAAGTTTTCACGTTTCTTTTTGTTCAATGAACCAGAGATATTTGCTAAAGGAATCTAAGATCTTTCTCAGCAGCCCTACAAAATCCTGTCTAGCAAGAGAGATCAATGAGAACAGTCTAGTCTCTTTGCGTGGGCTGATATACTTTCCACCTCATTTCAAGCAGTTTCTAAATATTGCAGAACACTGATAATGAAAACAGAAAAGAATACGCAACATCACCTGAAAGGTTGAATAAATCCCTACATGTCATCAACCAGATAAACTTGTTCATTGCAAAAAATATCTCAGTAGTGAACACAGAGATGAATCTGCATTTAGGCAATTTATTAAAAATTTATTAATTATCTGAAATGCACTCTAAGGTACTATATAATTTTCTATCTATGGAGTTGAAAATTCAATTGCTACTGCAAAAAAAGGTGGACTATTTAATGTTATACACTTCTATGTTTACATATTTATCTAATTTTTATACAAATAATCAGACAAGAATATTAATAACAGCAATAAGTAATAGATTTGTTCTTTTAAGACTAAAAGTTGCTGGCAATACTCAGAATACTAAGGCACATCTTTAGTGACTGAGAAAAACTGTGAGAAGTGTAGAGTCAACATGGTGATTTCCATACCAGGGCAGTGTTATTCCCCCTAGTACAGGCACCTATTAATTCTAGACTTCTTTCCCAAATGATTTGGTTTCTGTGTTTTCTTTGGGAAACTTGCACAACTGGTAATGCAAGAGAAGACCTAACATACCTTATTTTGAAGTTCCTTTTCCAATTTTACTATGTAGCTTTTTACAGAGTCCTGTTATTTTTCTTGTATCTATTGATACCACTGAAATAACGTTGGCCCCACTGTATACTCTTTCATCACCTTCAGCCAAATATTATACTTCAAAATAAATGGTCTTTTGTGCCCTAACCTAGTTGCTTTGCATGCGGTCTCTCTGTTTGGTGACACAAGCAGTTTCTATATATTCAAGGCTTAAAAGCAAGTGTATAGTAAAGAAATTGCTAAATTAAAGATTTGGTATTTTTCATAAAGCTACACAATTGCTGTCAGGTAGGGAATGAGAAATGATTTCATTTATTATGTTCTCTGACCTTTCTTATTATTGTTCTCCAAAGTTGTCTCACATTATAAAAAATATTATATATATATATAGATATAAAATATAATTATATAAAGGTGAAATTTAGTTTGAATTTAAGAAAGATGTCTAAGTTTGATTTCATTAAAACTGAATGGAAAGGTGTTCTGCCTCCATGCTGACAGGAAGCTTAAATGCACCTTGCAAAAATTTAGAGAGAGGTAACTAGGGATTTTGAAAAAAGCCTTCAACTGACTACTTGTTTTGACATAAAAATGCTGAAATGTCATAGACTTTTTTTTTTTTTTTTGTGCATTGTATTGCTATATTTCTACATTTTTTATAGTTTATGTTCTGCTTTTTTCATTCCAGGGATTGTCATTGGGATTTTTATTTGTTTGGTTTGGTTTCTTTTCTATTGTAATAATCGGTATGTTCCTTAAATTAGTGTCTTTTAAATCATGAAATGTGACTTTTTTAACACCTCTTCCTAATACAAGCTTTGAGATTTTTCTGCTTTCTTGAATGGAGTCACATTTTCTTGCCACATGTAGCTTCAAATTATTGTCATCTTTGTTTCTTCTTTGTTCTAAAAAATGTAGTCAGCTATGTGTTAACTAGTAATGTTATCGTAAGCTCTTCCTCACTCTTCTTCTGAATTTATACTTATATTTCTAGATTTATTTTAATTTTTAGGTCATTCCTTTTTTATCTCTTTCTGAAACATACTTTGCTGAACTAACTCTGTTGGCCTTGGTAGGACTACTTCTTTTTTGACCTTGTTAGGCTTGACTGATTTATGTTACTTCTCTACTACAAATAGGGTAGAAATTGGAAGATGAATGATGAGACTTTTATAGGGTAAATAAGGAAAAAAATTCATTATTATATAAGAACAATGAACATTTGTTTTGTCTTTTGAAAGTATTTATGAAAAAAAACAAAACAAAATTGGATGCAATTGGTAATTGTCAAATACTTCCAGCATTTGCCAAAGATCCCTAAGCAGCCCATGAATGCCTAATATTTACAAGCACAAAATTCTCACAGAACAGCAGTGTTATTTTAGATTTTTTCATTCTGCTGTAATAGGCTAATTATAATCAAATTAATGTACTCTGTAACTTGAATAGTGCTGATGCATTCCAAATGAAGAAGAGTGGCAGAACAGTGGTTTGCAACATTAGCATGCCTGCGTGTTGAACACCACGTTCTCTCACCCAGTCACAACCTTGTAACTAAAGATTTACTTTGACCCTTTTGCATCCCTTAGACAACTGTGACTTTAGAGTAAGTTAGGATCTTGGAAAAACACCAGCAGTTGTGGATTGCTTCTCAACTTGTCAAAACAACTGAAGGCAAATGAACCTAACCATGCCTAACCATGGTGAAATATTGGTCTGCTTCTTCAAAGTACAAGCCTATGTATAGCCCCAGAAGAAAACTGTAAAATGATAACTGAATGTCAGAGTTTTGTGCTGTTATACAAAGTTCAGAGATGGTGCCTCCAACACAGGCTTCAATATCTTAAGCTGGACAGGACCTTGATTAATAGCTTTTCAAGATACTGTATACTTTTCAACTATTGTTGAATCATGATCTGAACACAGGTTTCTGTGTCTGAAACTTAAATGACTAAAGTTGGTTAGTCATCACTTAACCAAGACCTGCTTCAGATTTGCTCTATAATCAATTCACATCTGTTGCTATTACTTTATGCTTCAACTCTTTTGGATTCACAAATTCACATTTCTTCACCTATTATCATATCTGGTGTATACTTTAAAAATATTCTTAGAATATGAACTCCATAGAGCTTGGTCATAACTTACAGTCATATAATAAAGCACTGTTTAGTATAAATATGTAACCTTATCTCCTCTCTTGAGGAGATTAATTCTGGATAAAAGACATTTCCCCAGGAATATACCAATGGTTATTTGTGGCTAATATCTCAGTTAAAAAAAAAAAAAAAGGTAATAATAAAATAATTACTATACTGGAATTCAAATTTTACTGTACTGGAATTCAAACTTGTCTTACCTGATATGTTTAAGATGTGAAAAGTATTTCTTGTGGGCACTGAGGGCTAGAAGCCCTCAAAATTTCTTGAAACTGATGTGTCTCACGCTTGGAGTCAGTCCAAGTTAAATTCTCCAGTACTTCTCACAGCTGTGAATGTCTGTGAATGTCAAGCAGATCTTTTACATATTCCATATTTTTTGTTCCATGAGAATATTTCACACCTTAATGAAAGCAGCGTGCCAATTAACAAGCCAGTATCAGTTGTATTTGCATTTTCTTAATTAAGCCTCAAAAATATAAGAAGGAAAGTGAGCTCTGCTAAGATTATGTTTTGACAGCACTGTCTATCCTGATCTACTAGATGAAGACAATATATTCCAGAAGACTGAAACAGAAACAAGTTAACAAGTTCTTTCAAATATATTAAAAAAGTTTATTCCTCCACTGCTTTACAGCTTACCACCTTGCATCTCTTGCAGTCTGATTTCAGAGGGGGAGACAAGAATTTAAAAGCTTTAATAAGCATGCATAAATCTCTATGAGAAAATAGCTGAAGTGTGGTGTTTGGATGGAAAGAACAACCACCTTTTGGACTCAAAGACTCTGATGGGGCTGAAACATTCTAAAAGTTCAGTCCTACCAGCTACAGAAATAGTGTCCTGCACTACAGTGAGTCTTGGATCATTTCACACCTGTCTGTGTAGCTCATATGCAAAAAGCAATAGTGAATATTGATTCAGTGAAACATTTGGGACTAGTGCCTACTCTCTTGAAAATATGTGAAGTTGAACTCTATTAGAAAAAAGTCATGCTCTTTGAATGCTCCATGGTGTAAAACGATAGTTTCCAGAACATATGACACTTTTTGAAACCAACATGGCATTCCTCCATGCATATACTTTTGTTGCTCAGGGTACATTCTCAACTTAGAAAAGAGGATAAAGGGGAAGGGAGATGATATTTTCTCCTTTCACATTAATGAAGAATCAGAAAACCAGAGAAAAATCACTGTTGCAGCTGTTCTGCAAATAGCGCAGAGCCATAGCCCTCATATATGGAGGATGCTGTCATCAACAATTGCACAGACTGAAAACATCATCTTTTTTTGGTACTGCAAGCCAACTGTAGACACCAAAGATGCAGATTTGCAAGTTTGCTGTGCCAAATGAAGAAATTTTATATGACAGAGTGATTATGTTAATAAGCAGTTGTTTCATTTTTCGATGTTGATTCTGGTAGTGAGGAATTTAATCCTGCTCCAAAATGACTGCACAGCAATCCAACAGAAATGCAACCAGTCACAGAAAAGAGCAGCACTACACAATCTTGGGTTAAAGTTGCAGTCTTCAGCCACAGAACACCAACTAACATTATTTTCCATGGCAATGATACATAAGGTCCTGAACGTTCAGGAGATATTTTCCACTGGCTTCAGGAGAATCAGGATTTTAGCCAAGACCTGTAGCTTCACACAAAGCAATTGCCTTTCTTTAAAGATGCAACGTGTCTCAAAGAAAGGGATGTTAGCTCATAAAAAAAACATTGAGAGGGTTTTTTTGAGGTTGCCTAATAAAATCTCCACCTGGAACAGGCCTAATTAAATCAGGTGGCCCAGAGTCTTGTCCAGTAAAACACTGAATGTTTCCAAAGGGGGAAACTTCCTAATCGGTATGGACAACCTGTTTCAGAGTTTATATACCCTCATAATAATAATAAAAAAAATAATTCAAGTTTTCAGATCAAAATTTTCAGCCTCCAGAAGCTATCCTCACCAGCAGCACCAGCCCACCAGAAGTGCTCACAAGTTGATACAGCTTCTAGAAAATGTCCTTTTGTGTTCAAGCTTGGAAACCTCTGTGACAATTGGTAGTCAATTTTCTGGAATATCAACCTCAAAATGACATGGCTGATAGTGAGAAATAGGAAATCAAGGTTGATATCCATGATGCTGGAAAATTATTTCATGTTCTCATAGTATATTTAATCATTTATCATAATCGTAGAGCAAAAATTTTGCAACACAATGCAAAAGAAACAACAGACTGTTTTGAAAACTGTTACTTTTTTTTCTTCCTCATTTTTTCATAGCCACGATTTTTGATTTTATAAAGTTAAAAATATTTCAATATTTAGAGCAAACTATCACTGTTTCTATGTGCCTTCCAGAACCGAAATCCCAGGACATGAATGCACTCCCTGCATAAAGAAAGGTTTCCATGTTTCATGTTGTTCAGTTGATGCCTTACATATGACATCTGGGGAAAATCCATTCTGTCTGACATTGGTTGGACCAAATATCTCTTGAAATCATTAGGTAATGAAATACACATAGAATTATGATTGTATTTAAAGGTGAAATCTTGGAGATAAGGCAGACTATTCAAAAATCCTTCTAAGGGTTTCCTAAACCAGCAATATTTTTAGGTGCTCATTGAAAGGCCAAAAGGATAATTTTGTGCTACAATGTAATTTGCTGCAAACCAGCTCTGAAAACAGAGACATTTATCTGTTTTGGTGTGACGCAGTGCTGAACTAAAAATCTCTGCTGAGAACTAGACTTCTTCAGCTGAATCACCATTCTCCATTAATGCATACAGTGTCTGCAGCTGTGCCTGCCCCCAGCCAGCCAGCTCCGGTTGTAAGAAGTGTGTGCTAGATTTTCTGTGGAATAAGCAATGTAAACAGATAAGAAACTTTTCCTTTCTTATGTGGCATTGAAATTTCTGGGATTGTGGTTGGGAAAAGTAGAGCTGATGGCTAGCAGGGCACTATATCTGTCTCTATCACAAAATTAAAGAAAGAGCAAGCACTTTGAAGAATTTTATAATTCCTTTGGCAGTGTTTCATTTTTTTAGAATAAATGAGAACTATACTTGGCCTGCTACTGAAATATTAATAACATTTGAAGGGGGAAAAAAACCACCCATCATAGTCCTAAATCACTATATAGGTAGTTTCTTGTTAAGAGTCTCTAAAATATGGGGAGAGAAGATCAAGAGCATCTTATTTGCCCACTGAGGAAACACATCTCCTATTTGCTTGAATGCACAGATTGTTTGCCATGTACCCAAGAGACACAATAGAAAACTGTGCCATTACAGCTCATTAGTGAATTGAACAAGGAAGTCAATATTGTAATTTGCCCATCCTCTAGTGAATTATTCTCATACAATTACAGTACTGCCTCCCACAGTTTTGACCCCATCATAACCCTTGCTGGGAGAACACTGGCACTGGAATTTTAAAAGCTTTTGCCAGCATATGATTTAGTTTTAGGATATTTTATTTAGTTGAGGAAGTTTTATATTCTAGTGCTAAAAAAGCTGACTTCCAGATTGTGTGCACTGTATTGCTGTCTAATTTGCACTTCCTGCATGGATGAAAGCACTTGGCCTTCAGTCTCAGATCTCAAAGTCTACCTGTGAGTGCACACAGAGAAGAGCAATGCACGCCCCGGAGCATCTTTTTGCTGTAGTACATGACTAGGTGGAAATCAAGTGATTTCTGACAGCTTATTTTTCATCATTCTTTTGACAGATTGGGGAAACATCTACCTTAGCTGTGGAGCCTTCAGAATACTTCAGTTCCTCCTGAGTCAATTCTCTGTTTTTCAGTAACTCTGGACAAAACCATATTAAAATTTCAAGGACTCAATATTATTATATATTATTATTATTATTATTATTATTATTATTATTATTATTATTATTATTATTATTATTAATAATAATAATAATAATAATAATAATAATAATAATAATAATATATTATATTATTAACAATACAATGGTATACAACACTGATATAACTTGATGACATCAACAGAGTAGCAAGAATCAATGACAATAGGGCAAGACTCACTGTTGATTACACGGAAGGTACTGACTTGCAAAGCACAAAGAATTTACTGCTAGTGCTTAGAAAGTGCTTGGAGGTTATTCAATAATTTGAAATTTGAAGAAAATAAATTTCATGAATAAGTTTAAAGTGCTGTAAATTTCTTAACATAGATTTACAACCATTGATTAAGACATCATTCTTTTTGAAGTCAGCTTACAGATAATTTATACAGTGTATGTCAAAATGAAAATTTACATTTAGAAAGACTGAATGTTTTGTAACAATCAAGTAAATAGACTCTCCATAAGGCTGAAAATCTATGTAAAAATTAAAAACCCTTTTTATTTTCTACAGATGTATCTACTCTGATTAAGGATGAAGAAATGATAGTCTGTGAGGAAAAGAATGAAGAAACAGTACCTGTAAAAAAATCAAAAAAGATAAATCTCAAAGCTCAAAACAGATTTTTTCTTCCTATGCATCTAATTCTGAACCAAATGAATTGTCATTTAATTCCTCTTTTTTTATTTAATAATAATTACTCTTGAGATATCTTAACATTATGTTGTAACCTCAGAGATGTGCACAACATGAACAACAGGCATGAACTCTGCAGAATTTTTCTGTGCTTCTCTACTCACATTGGAGGGTTCCTCATAAACTCTGAATCTAGGCAAGTCTAAATTTACAAGAAAAACTAAATTTTTCCATCTCCTTTTTCTCTGATTTCACTTTAAAAGAGTGGATATTCTACCTGTATTCTTGAGATTGTAATGCTGATGATAAAATTATCATTTTGCAATGGATTCCCCACAAATGACCTTTTGTACCATATGCAGCAGCACGTAAAATGAAAATGGGCACAGGAGTGTCCAGAATTACTTCATACACAAGAGAGTAAGATGCTGTGTTATGCATTTCTTCCTAATGGTAGAAATGGTTGCTGAAAAAGGAGGAAAAAAGTTGGTTTTTTTTTCTTGTGGTTCCATTGTGACCTGCAGTCTGTATATTTTGTTCATTTGAGATTACAGCTTGTGAACTGAGACCTTGTTCATCTTAATGGTAAAAAGTAGATGCAGAAAGGAATATTTTCCATAGGGGCTACTCCTAACACAATTATAAACATGAACAAGCCCTTACTCTTTGGTTGGTGAATCAAAAATTGCATCCTAATAGAGACCAGCTAGAAATATCCATTATACTGCCAAATTTCACAATTATATTGAAGCTGAATAAAAAAAATTAAAAAATTAACAATCTTCACAGTCTTTGAGATAACTTCAGTACAGAGAGAACAAATCAACTGCTTCTGAAAGCAGATCTTTGTCTTCCTGATTTGGTTAGGATTAAAAATGAACTTTTTCCCTTAAAAAAATTAAGCTTTTCATGACCAAACTGAAAATCTGAGCCCAAACTAGTTCTCTAATTAATACAAGATGACAGCTGTCAGTGATGTTTAGGAGCAGGAAACATACGATGCAAAATATTTTTGTCTTATTGAAGAATTTCCCCTTAACCTAAAAAATTCTCAAGTTGTGAAATGTTAGCAAAATGTTAGCAAAAGAAGATAAATTATGTTTGACAGCAAGGGCATAAAGAAGGCATATAATCATGTAGCATGCTACTTTTTAATATATATGGCCCCCAAATTCAGCAAGCTATGTTTGTGTTAACCATGTGTAGTTAAAAGTTATCACTTTTCTGACCTCTGCAGGGCAGGTTGCAACTATATGGCAATTTGCTGTGATGTATTTGTTGACCACAGGAAACAAGAGATAGTGTAATACAAATTGTTGCTGTACAATGTTCTCTAAGGACAGGCACAGTCACTACAACAATAACGATGAATAGCAGAGCATTGTATTTAACTGAAGGCATTTTACCTGTTTATGCTGAATCATGGTAACCTTGGTACAGAGAACAACATAAACACACTTTCCTTCTTTTTAAACTGCTCTAGGAAGATAAATATGTGAAAAAAGCCCAAAGCAAAACAAACAAAAGGAAAATAATTGCATGGTATTTACAAATAAAATGCAAATTCTCTGAGAGGAAAACATCCTTCTGCTAACAATGAATGTGTTGGGGTTCAATAACACAAAGGAAGATTTTTGAACAATATTATGCTTGAACAATAAACATCTGTTTGATTTCCCTTAGCTTTGACCACTGCCAAGTGTTTCTGAAACTAAATCCTCAGTTAACTGTCCTTCTGAGCTACTTGAGCAAAGACAAGACAATAACTTAATGACAGTGTTTTTCTTGCCTGTTTTGAGAGCAAGCAGCATCAACAAGAGAGAAAAGAAAATGGACTCACTCCTGCTGCAAGATGTGTTACCTATAGTAACAAAAGGATTTACCTCTAGTAACAAAAGGATTAATTACTAATTATCATTCATGTTTGGATGAACACACATGCTGATGTGGTCAAATAGATGCAGAGGGATGCTGTGCTCTCACTGTCTGGAAATGCTCAGGACACCAAACTGGCTCGTTGTTTCTCCTGATGCTCTGCCCTATGTCTGTTCCATCAGCCTGGAAGCAAAGGTGTACATCACTGGTCTGAGACGGCTGCTGCAGAATGTTGCCTGCCAAGTACTTTGATCCTCTGCATTTCCCTTTTTATATTCCAATGCAAATTTTAAAACATTGCAAAAAAAGCAAACGAAAAAAAAGCAAAAAAAGCAAAAAAAAAAAAGCAACATGGCTTGGTACTCTTTAATGTTTGGATTTAGGAATGAGCTGATCCATCAAGAATATTAATATATTTCTTACTTGTTTATAGCTCATGGTCATCAGGAACCAGAACTGTCAGCATGCTACTATGCATGTTCAGTGTGTGGGAGAAGAGATGAACTGCGGTCTTTACTGCATTAACCTGTTTTTTATTTGGTGTAGTGTTCTAAGGAAGCCTGAATACACTGTTTGTTTTTGTTTGATATTGCTCTGTATACAAAATCAGTAAGAGTTTTATTTTCATATGCATTCATCACTGATTCTATTGTCTGTAGATATCAGAGACAGAGAACAGTCAAGCTTAAACACATTTGAAATGTTTATTGAAGGTCTATAACCAGTCATGATCTTGGTATTTTTCCTTATGAAAGAATCTTAAATTCATATAATTAGCAATATGGCTCAAGTAACACTTAGAAGAAACAGTTATTCCTGTATAATATCTAATGGAGATTTTTTCTAGCATTTGTGTGAAGACTCTGTGCTGTCCTAGGGTTGTGTTAACTAGGGATCGTATTTCTACATAAACCTACACACACAGGCAAGAACCGGAGGCAGTACAAGCTAAAGAAATGTAAATCTTTTGACTTTCTCCTAAACCACACAATTCTCTGAATGGAGAAAAATAAGTAAATGTTGCTGATAATTTCTATTCTAGGTTCTGCAATGCTGAATATGAAGGATACTGTGCTGAAACTGGCAAACAACCAAGATTTTAGGCTTCTAGGAATAAAATGTACCAAAATGAAGGGAGCAATACATTTCCAGACAACAGGCAGTTTGCCATCTGAATCACTCTTGAAGAATGTGGTTACACACCCTGTTTTCCTGAGTAGAAAAGCTGGCTCAATTTCTCTCTTTCACGACAGTGTGTGATCCAGACCTGATTCTCACCCTCGACTATACCAAAGCACGCTCTTCACTCACCCACGATGAGTAAACTGCAGAATATTGATGGGAATGGGAACCAGTGCTTTTCCTGCAATGTAGCCAAATACCCTATGTTGTAGACAAATAAGATGTGTTGTGAAACTACAAGCTTATTTTGAGCTTGATCGTGCAAATGAGATTTGGTGTGTCTGTGTGATAAAAACCACAGGTATAGTCTGACTAACCTGCCTAAAGCTATAAAAAAGTAGAACAGCAACAGGACAAGGTCACCAGCTAAGGGATTGCAGCTGTTTCTACAGAGAAGAAACATTATTTCCCTGTAGTTCTTGCATTTCCAGTTCTGAGGACCTTCTGAAATCCTGTGAATGTCTTCAGTTCTGGTTTTGACAAGACAATCAATCCAGTGTTAAGTTTGCAAGGGCCAAATTGAAATATTGTATCCATATATGCAAGGGTCAGCCAGGTGTAACTTCACTGATAAAAAATCACAGATTAACATTTTATCATCACACATTTCTGCTGTGAATGGTACAGATGTAAGAGGTTCAGGTGGGATTCAGCTCACCTCTCCTAACAGTCCTCCCTCTCCTCTCTTTTTAAACAGTGGGGAGATTAGGCCATTCAAAGAAATTACACATTTTATCAAATCTTAAATGTAATTTACAGTAAGATTCACACACGATGGCTGTTATTCCAATGACAGAAAAAGTTTTTAGGGCAGAAACCTCAGGTGTAGGCATCTACATTACAGGTGTGTTTTCCATTGCAGCCTAGTCCCACTGAAAGTTTTGTCATATGAATGGCAACATTCTCATTTACAATTCCTCTTTAACAATCCCAGGATTATTTAGTTAAAGAATTCCAGTTTTCATCCAGAACTGTAAACTGGCAACTTCAAACTTGGTTGCTTTTTATTTTTTTTTATTATTTTTTTTTTAAATATGGCTTGTTGAATTTGAAATTAAATAATTTTATAAAGAAGCCTCACTATGTGAGTTCTCAAATTTTCAAATTTGAAGAGTGAGATTTGTGGACCTATATAACATTTCATAATTTTTTTTTTCTAAGCATAAGACCAATTTGACAAATTTCTACTCTTTTGAAATAGCATTCTCAGAAAAATACACAACCATCTCCACAACCATC